AAAGAAGAAGAAGAATGAAAAGAAGAATGAGAAGAAGAATGAGAAGAATGAAAAGAAGAATGAAAAGAAGAAGAAGAAGAATGAAAAGAAGAATGAAAAGAAGAATGAGAGAATGAAAAAGAAGAAGAAAAAGAATGAAAAGAAGAAGAAGAATGAAAAGAAGAATGAAAAGAAGAAGAAGAATGAGAAGAAGAATGAAAAGAAGAATGAAAAGAAGAATGAGAAGAATGAAAAGAAGAATGAAAAGAAGAAGAAGAATGAAAAGAAGAATGAGAAGAATGAAAAGAAGAATGAAAAGAAGAAGAAGAATGAAAAGAAGAATGAAAAGAAGAAGAAGAAGAATCTTTTCATTCTTCTCATTCTTCTTTTCATTCTTCTTTTCATTCTTCTTCTTCTTCTTTTCATTCTTCTTCTTTTCATTCTTTTCATTCTTCTTCTTCTTCTTTTCATTCTTCTTTTCATTCTTCTTCTTTTCATTCTTTCATTTTCAATTTTCATTACTTCTCCTTCTTCTTTTCATTCTTCTTCTTCTTCTTTTCATTCTTCTTCTTCTTTTCATTCTTCTTCATCTTTTCATTCTTCTTTTCATTCTTCTTCTTCTTCTTTTCATTCTTCTTCTTCTTCTTTTCATTCTTCTTTTCATTTCCTTCTTCTTTTCATTATTCTTCTTCTTCTTCTTTTCATTCTTCTTTTCATTCTTCTCATTCTTTTTTCATTCTTTTCTCATTCTTCTTTTCATTCTTCTTCTTCTTTTCATTCTTCTTTTCATTCTTCTTTTCATTCTTCTTTTCATTCTTCTTCTCATTCTTCTTTCTTCTTTTCATTCTTCTTTTCATTCTTCTTCTCATTCTTCTTTTCATTCTTCTTCTTTTCATTCTTCTTTTCATTCTTCTCATTCTTCTTTTCTTCTTCATGAAAAGAAGAAGAGAAGAAGAATGAAAAGAAGAATGAAAAGAAGAATGAAAAGAAGAATGAGAAGAAGAATGAGAAGAAGAATGAGAAGAAGAAGAATGAAAAGAAGAATGAGAAGAAGAATGAGAAGAATGAAAAGAAGAATGAAAAGAAGAAGAAGAATGAAAAGAAGAAGAAGAATCTTTTCATTCTTCTCATTCTTACTTTTCATTCTTCTTTTCATTCTTCTTCTTCTTCTTTTCATTCTTCTTCTTTTTCATTCTTCTTTTCATTCTTCTTCTTCTTTTCATTCTTCTTCTTCTTTTCATTCTTTCTTTTTCATTCTTCTTCTTCTTTTCATTCTTCTCATTCTTCTTTTCATTCTTCTTCTTCTTCTTTTCATTCTTCTTCTTCTTCTTTTCATTCTTCTTCTTCTTTTCATTCCTCTTTTCATTCTTCTTTTCATTCTTCTTTTTTTTTCATTCTTCTTCTTCTTCTTTTCATTCTTCTTCTTCTTCTTTTCATTCTTCTTCTTCTTTTCATTCTTCTTTTCATTCTTCTTCTTCTTTTCATTCTTCTTCTTCTTCTTTTTCATTCTTCTTTTCATTCTTCTTCGTTCATTCTTCTCATTCTTCTTTTCATTCTTCTTTTCATTCTTCTCAAAGATCGAATGAAAAGAAGAAGAAGAATGAAAAGAAGAATGAAAAGAAGAAGAAATAAAAGAAGAATGAAAAGAAGAAGAAGAATGAAAAGAAGAATGAAAAGAAGAATGAAAAGAGAATGAAAAGAAGAATGAAAAGAAGAAGAATGAAAAGAAGAATGAAAAGAAGAAGAAGAATGAAAAGAAGAATGAAAAGAAGAAGAAGAATCTTTTCATTCTTCTCATTCTTCTTTTCATTCTTCTTCTTTTCATTCTTCTTCTTCTTTTCATTCTTCTTTTCATTCTTCTTCTTCTTCTGAGGATGAGGATGAAGAAGAAGAAGAAGAAGTAGGATGAAAATAAGAAGAATTCCAAGCCGGCAAATAGTGTATCTGCAGAGTCCTCTATTTATGACAGTTCTCTGACATTCACATTTAACTAGCGGTTGAAACATTGTATCTATTTGTTTCCATAAATGGAAACAATAGATACAATGTTTCAACTCGCTGTAAATGTGAATGTCAGAGAACTGTCAGAAATAGCGGAGCTCTGCAGATACACTTAGCGGAGCTCTGCAGATACACTTTTTGACGGCTTGGAAATTCTTCATATTTTTCATCCTACTTCTTCTTCTTCTTCTTCATCCTCAGAGAAGATGAGGGATGAAGTAGGAAGAAGAATTCCAAGCCGGCAAAAAGTGTATCTGCAGAGAGCTCAGCTAAGTGTATCTGCAGAGCTCCGCTATTTCTGTCAGTTCTCTGACATTCACTCCATACAGCGGTTGAAACATTGTATCTATTTGTTTCCATTTTTTGGAAAGAAACAAAGATACAATGTTTCAACCGCTGTATGGAGTGAATGTCACAGAGAACTGTCAGAAATAGCGGAGCTCTGATACACTTAGCGGAGCTTGCACCTAGATACAGCGGTTGAAACATTGTATCTATTTGTTTCCATAAATGGAAACAATATAGATACAATGTTTCAACCGCTGTATGGAGTGAATGTCAGAGAAATGTCAGAAATAGCGGAGCTCTGCCAGATACAACTTAGCGGGAACAGCTCTGCAAAATACACTTTTTGCCGGCTTGGAATTCTTCTTATTTTCATCCTACTTCTTCTTCTTCTTCTTCATCCTCATCATCATCTTCCTCAGAAGAAGAAGAGGATGAGGATGAGAAGATGAAGAAGAAAAAGAAGAAGTAGGATGAAAATAAGAAGAATTCCAATCCGGCAAAAAGTGTATCTGCAGAGCTCCCGCTAAGTGTATCTGCAGAGCTCCGCTAAGAAATAGCGGAGCTCTGCAGATACACTTTTTGCCGGCTTGGAATTCTCCTTCTCTCATCCTTCTTCTTCTTCTCATCCTTCTTTTCTTCTCATACCTTAAAGCCCTTCTTCTCATCCTTCTCCTTCTTCTCATCCTTCTTCTCCTTTCTTCTCATCCTTCTTCTTTTCTCATCCTTCTTCTTCTTCTCATCCTTCTCCTTCTTCTCATCCTTCTTCTTCTTCTTCTTCTCATCCTTCTCCTTCTTCTCATCCTTCTTCTTCTTCTCATCCTTCTTCTTCTTCTCACCTTCTTCTTCTTCTCATCCTTCTCCTTCTTCTCATCCTTCTTCTTCTTCTCATCCTTCTTCTTCTTCTCATCCTACTTCTTCTCATCCTTCTCCTTCTTCTCATCCTTCTTCTTCTTCTCATCCTTCTCCTTCTTTCTCATCCTTCTCCTTCTTCTCATCCTTCTTCTCATACCTTCTCCTTCTTCTCATCCTCTCCTTCTTCTCATCCTTCTCCTTCTCCTTTCTTCTCATCCTTCTCCTTCTTTCTCATCCTTCTCCTTCTTCTCATCCTTCTCCTTCTCCTTCTTCTCATCCTTCTCCTTCTTCTCATCATCCTTCTCCTTCTTCTCATCCTTCTCTCTTCTTCTCTTCCTTTCCTTCTTCTCATCCTTCTCCTTCTTCTCATCCTTCTCCTTCTCCTTCTCCTTCTCATCTCCAAGGGCATTTAAATTAAAGGTACAGTGTTCTGCACTAATTATAAAGGCTCTCTGAAGCCTAGAAACCCTTTTTATAAGTTAAATTCGTAGGCGAATATAAATTCGCATCGAATCAAATTTCTTCCTCAAATTCGGCGAATCTAGCCCGAATCGAATTTTTTGAAATTCGCGTCATCTCTACTCGCGAGCAGCAAGGAGGATCTGGTGAGACACTGTATATAAGATACATTGTCACTTTCTGAGGAAATTATGGGATGTTGTTGGGCATGCTTGTACTTTTATTATGTGAGTTTATTACTGATTTTAAAATAAATGTTTTTTAGCGATATTACGCTATGACCTTTCCTTTATTTCCTTTCTTGAGGTGGATTTAATCTTTTTAGAGGATGATGTCCTACCTACACCCAGATTCAAATTGCAGATGGGCTACGTCATTGAGGAGTCTTATTACATATGACACTCACCCACAACTGCGGTTGCCTATCATGCAAAGATGGGCCATGATATCTGGTGAGTGCCATGATGAATTGGGGGGAGATGCTTCTTTGGAGCATGTGGTGACACTGGAGTGAAGTTTATTTGGCACTTGTGAAAATAATTTAATTTATTCCCATGGTTGTTCTGTGGATTAGAAGGACTATTTAGTTTTTGGTGGACTTGTACAAAGCATTTATTTCGTCTTTATGAATTGGGACATTCAGTGATGCAATTGATTGATTTATTTGTATATTGAAGCAAATGCATTTCACTGTATAGTATTTTGTGCTACTTTAGTATTTCATTTTTGTCGTTGCACTGCTTTCCACTAGCTATGTAAAGATTTTAGTAGGTGATTATTGGGTGACTCACTACTTAAAGCAGCGGTAATTTATATATGTAATATACACATATACATTTGATTTGTTGAATACTTGGTATCAACGTACAAAGTTGTCAGCTACTTTGAGTCACATATTTAGAGTGTAGTTTGCGCAGTGATTATAACAATAAAATTATGACAATAAGATGTTTAATAAAAGCTCCAGAGAACAGAGAGAAAAATGACAGAACTGAATGTAAAAAAGATAAAAAATTTGACATCAGATTAGTATTAGGACCTAATAAAAAGGAAGAAAATGGTTTTCAGGCAGCCAGCTTAGGTGTTTTATGTATATAAATATGTAATTACCCTTTTGCTGAACTATTTGAGAAGATTCCAGAATCCGCCGCCACAGAAACTCAGCATAATTAATGGAAGTTTGAAGAGCTGAGAAGCATGTCATTGATGAAAATCCTTCCATTTATTATAAGTCTGTCACACAGGATTACTGATTCAGAATGTAGCATACCTCCTCACTTCCTCTTGTTTTTAATGAGACATTCCTACTTCACAGCCCGCCAAAATGTTAGAGGCTTACCAAATTGATTTTTTTTTGGGTGTGTTTTGAACTAGAGAGACAGCATATTTAGCTGTCCTGATCAGGGGCGGACTGACAACTCATGGGGCCCCTGGGCAATAGGGGATCATGGGGCCCCTGATGTCCTTGCCCAAACTCAAAAAAGCCTATGAAAATGGTACCAGGGGCATCTCATGGGGCCCCCTACTGACATCGGCAGTGCCCGAGTTTCCAAATGGTCAGTCTGCCCCCCTGGTCCCTGATTTGACTTTTAAAATGAGAAGTACTGTATAGTGTCCTGATGTTGTAGCTAACATTTTTATAAACACTTAAGTCCCAGGTGCCCTTTAAAATATGAAACTGGGACTTGGTGGCTTCAGTGATTTGTCTTCAGTAACAGCTAGGGCTCAGCACTAAGGACAATGGACACCAGTTGATCAGCCCCCTGGGCTTCAGGTCTTGCTGCAGAGCACTCCATAGCAGAGCACTGTAAAGGCAATGAAGAATCAATTGGGCTGATTTACAAAGGGAGTTGAGAAGAAAATGGGTAGCACCCTCCTATAGTTCTGAGTATGTGCTAGGAATTTAGGTTAGCTCATATGCTGCTGTTCTGCTACTTTCCCCCTGTCTTCCCGAGAGTTTTTTGAGAGTTTTGGGAGAAGAGTGGACACGCATGTGCAAGACATCCAGGAACATGTAATACTGATAAAGTGTGCTCAGTACAGTCAGGAGTTGTGCAAGACAGCCAGGAGTTGTACAAGTCAGCCAAGAGAATACAGTGAAGTCTGAGGTTGTGCAATATAGCCTGCATTTTTGTACAGAGCAGCCAGAAGCCTAGCACTCTTCTGCAGTTTCAGGGCATCCCATGCCCCATCCCTATTAAATTTCCTGTTCCCAATAAAACCCTAGAAGAAACCCCTAGACTGTATCTTGAGCCAAATGAAGAATGCTGAAAAATGCTGTGTGTCTGGCTGTGTATGCTGTAAGTGGGACCCAAATTATCCGTGGCTCCTGTAGGGGTAGCTCTATGTATACATGAATATATACTTCAGTTACCCAGTCTTGTGTGAATTACATAAATAAACAGGAATTTGTGTTTCACATGATTGGATAACTGAATTGAATAGCCAAAAAAATGTATTTTGTGAAGATTCTCAACTCCTTTACTAAATCAGCCTCATTGTGTTTACAGAGGTTTGAGGTTATGCCACTTCTGTCAGTCTAGAGGCAAAAAGCAGCTCCTACCTATACACTCTGTACTACTGTAAATTACAAACCATGTGTTATATGTTCTACATTGCTGCACACTGTTCGCTGTGCAGTGAGTTATATGCTCCAGACTGCTGCAATGTTCAGACTGTATGTTACGGTACATATTCTGGACCACTGCACTCTAAACACAATGCTGTACGTTACATACTTTGTACCTCTGCCTTCTGTATACTGTATATTGTATATTTTGTACCGCTGCAGGCTGCACTTTTTTATCACATACTCAATACCGCTTTACTATCTACACTTTATTTTTGGCTAAAGTGTCATTTAACCCACATCATAAACAAACTATCAGCAAATGCTGTATTACATACTGTTCATAATCATTTGTTCCCTATGGGGGTATTTTCTACTGTTCTCTATCTCCCCCCTGTCCTTCTGTCCATGTCCCCAATGCAGCTGGGGATTTTGCAGAGTTGGCAGCTAGTGCACATGCTCAGTTTTCAATGTGTTTCTGTGTTGAGCATTTCCTCCCTTTCACATCTGAGCAGGCCATGTGACTATATAGTGTGGGCATATACACAGTGATAAATGACAGCCCACTCCCTCCCTCCCTCCTCCTCCAACTAAAAAATGGAGGTGGGATATTACATCTTGACTGATGGAGGCTATCCCTGTTGTGTGTGACACAGCCTGTGACTGGTAGAAATCCACCCAAACCATGATATTGCCAAAAAATAATACAGATTTATTTCAAATATATATTTGTATGAAGATTTAAAAAAGTTTATCAATATTAATTATTTTTACTGTATATCCCAAAGGCTGGTTTTTTTTCAGTTTAAACATGTCACCAGCAGCAGAGGACTAGAAGCGCCTCCTGCTTTTGTTTTCCCACAGACAGGCTGGGAAAGAGCTGGCTCATGTTGACAGCTGTATATTGATTAGGAAAAGGTACCTAGGTGTTTTTTTTTTTTTTTAAATGAAAATAATTACAGTGCCATCATCCATATACAGAAAGAGGAGGGATAATTAATTAAACAGTGTGTGGTTAGTATCACTTTAATACTGCTCTCTGAAATTGTTATATATTACATTTACCGGACTGCTTCACTGTGAATTCTTTACTGTATATTACTTAGTTAACTGGTTGCTGACCAGCCACTGTATAAAAATGGCGACAGGGCAGCACCACTGCGCAAAATTACATTTTTAAAACGTCATTTTGCAAAACAGGTAGGGGGCGCACGCGAGGCTGTCAATCACTGGGTCCCGGCCTGCTCCCCGTCAGTTCCCAACACACTGTTCCTGAGAGCGGAGTTTAGCTCTCGGGATCAGTGTGTTCCTGTGAAGTACACACCCCCCGCCCACTAGTAAAACACTCTCCTCACACAGTTAACCCTTTGATTGCCTAAAAAAGTTAACCCCTTCCTCCCCAGTGCCATTAGTACAGTGTGAGTGTTTTGGTTCTTTTTGCACTGATCACTGTATTGGTGTCACAGGGGATGTCAGTGACCCCAAGTCAGTTCCCCCACAGTGTCAGAATGTCCGCCGCAGTCCTGCAGTCCCACCATAAGTCGCTGATCGCCGCCATTATTAGTATAAAAAAAAATTAAAAATCCAGTATCTATCCTGCCATTTGTAAACGCTATAACTTTCACGTAAACCAATTAATTTACACGCAATCAGATTTTTTTTTAGCAAAGACATGTCGCAGAATACATTTTGGCTGAAATTTATGACAAAATTAGATTTTTTTAATTTTTTTACTGGACATGTTTTATAGCAAAAAGTCCAAAATATGTTTTTTTTTTCTCAAAATTGTTGGGTTTTATTTTTATAGAGCGAAAAAATAAAAAAACGCACAGGTGATCAAATACCACCAAAAGAAAGCACAATTTGTGGGGAAAAAAAAGTTGTAAATTTCATTTTGGTGCAGCGTTGCATGACCGCGCAATTGTCAGTTAAACTAATGCAGCGCCGTAACACAAACCGCTTATGTAACCGATTCCTGACCACCCTATAGCAGAAATACTGCTACAGGGCGGCACAGGTACGCAAAATCACATATATATATATATATATGTGTGATTGGCGCTCCCGTAGTTTTCACGCCCCTCCCAGATGGCGTCAGATTGCCAGTCAGTACACCAGTCATCACATTTAACCCATGGATTGCCAGGAAGACGCTCATACACAATAAACCTCCATTTCTAGTTTAGTGTCTGAACGGATCAATATCTTTGATCAGATCAGCACTATACCAGCGTTCACATTAGTATAGCGTCCCCAAAAACGCAGCGTTAGCAGGATCAGCCCCGGCACCTGCCAGCACCTGCGTTTAGCCCCTACGTTTACCACCCCTTCTCCCCCAGCAAGTGCAGTGTCAGTAGGTCACTGTCACTGATACATTGCACACAAAACTGCAGTGTTGGCAGAATAAGGCCTGATCTCTGTTAGCACTTGTCAGTAAATTTTGATGACTCTCATATGCAGCAGAGTGCCAGTACTAGTGCCACGCTAGAGAGTACTAGTCCTGCTGGCAGAGATTTCTTCTCTTTTTTTTCATTCAGTCCACAGGCTGCATACAAAAAAAAAGAACATAGCATGTACAGTAATACCTTGGTTTACAAATGCCTCTGTTAATGTAATTTTCGGTTTACGAATGAAAATCCATTGAAAATAATGCCTCGGTTTGCAAATGTTTTACTAATTTTTTTCACAATACTAAGTGTATGTTAGTGCTGATTTTTAAATGCAAATGCCATCTTTTTTTTCTTCAGTATAGCTCACAACATTAGCTGTCAGTTTCCCAGAACTAAAGGATACTTTGTATATTTTAGGAAACTGAAATGATACATTGTACCTTTTAAGAAACTGAAAGTAAACATTGTATCTTTTAACTTGGGGAAATAAGCTAAAAGAAACTTTCTCTCTTTCAGCTGGAGGGGGGAAAGTAACTGCTGAATTTCTGAACTACTGTATAGTGAAGGGAAAAAAAAACAGTAATTACATTTAAAAACTGGCACCTGACAGCTGAGTGAATTACCTGCAATTAAAACTTTTTTTACATTGCAATATTAACACATGGTTGTCACTACTAAAATACTGCATGAGTTAATAAAATAACTCATGCGGTATTTTGTAGCGTTTACTGTTTTTCTGACCTTCTGAATGGATTACTTGGTTTTCAATGCATTCCTATGGGAAACAGTTTTTTTTTTTCGCTATATGAAATGTCCTGCAGAACTAATTAAATTCGTAAACCGAGGTACTGGTACATCACTGGATTTGAATGGTTATACCAGAATGATGCCTACAGATGCACAATCCTAGTGGCTAATTAGCTGCAGGATTGTTTTTACAAGCAGCATAAGGCGATGCCCCCCCTCTCCCCCACTGCCTTCCACAGCCTTCTCGGGCAGTCCCGTGCCATCGGGGCAACCTGAGAATGCAGCTAGCTGACCATAGAGTTTCTGCTAGCTGACCATAGAGCTGATTGGAGACCAGAATGGTGCCAATCATCTCTATAGCCTAAGAAATCGGAAGCTACGAGCATTTCATCACTTCAGTTTCACAGGATATAAACAGCGCCATTTGTAAATTGGGAAAGCATCTGATCACACCGATCTTGGTTTGATTAGATAATGTAAGGGCAGAGGAGATATCCAGAGTCAAATAGACCCCAGATTTCTCAAAAAAGAATATATGACAATGCCCATTGACGTTATAGGGGATATTTGCATTCCCTGTGATAACATTAAAAGTGATAAAAAAAATGAAGGGGCAGTGTAAAAATAATAAAAAAATCAAAATAACTTTAAAAAAAAGTACCCTCGCCCCCCCTGCGCACTCGTGCATCTGCATTCGTGAGCATTGACCCTGTGCCAGTATGGAAACAGTGGTTGCACCATGCATGTGAGGTATCGCCACGAACGTCAGATCAAGGGCAGTAATTCTAACACTAGACCTCCTCTGTACATCTAAAA